AGAAAAAAAAAAGACAGGAGAAAACCAAACCTAAAAACTTAATAAAAAAAATTGATGTTTTGCATATGAAAGCAAAATGAAACTTCCTTATCAGTCTCTTCTGAAATATTTAAATAATCAGTATTCTAGTATTAAGTTTACTGCTTATGAACAAAAGATTCTTTGACTTTTTTTGTACTTAAATATTGAAGACTTTACTCACTGATTGACTTCTTTTGTTATTAGAAAAAAATTTTAAAACTACAATAATATTTCACTACTAAATTGAAATTACTGGATTGTATTTTTTGTCTTAGTAGCATTATTTCTTTTAGTTTATGAAAATCTTAGTATTTTAGTACACAAGGTTGTAGATCTGATTATTGACTTCCACAAATTTCACAGCAAACTAGAAAAGTTATTGTTCTATAAAGGAATGATTTAAAGCTCCTCATCAGAAACTATTTAATCATATTTTTCATCCCTCTGTTACAACAGTTTGATACACCCCAACATCCTGTGTATCTTACTTTGCCATTCATGGAGATTCAAAGTTTACAGTCAAGAGGAAAATTAAAATAGAATTTACAGTTTATTTTGTAAACCTAAGTTTCATATAAGCAATTTATTTAGCTTCAAAGACATTATTCTTACATATCAATGATCAAGCACTGTTTTGTCATTCCGTTTGTCCTCATTTATGTTGAGTCTACGTTATATCAAACGTCAAATAGGGGAAAGTTTGTGATAAGTTTCTGTCAAGTTACAGAAAAAATGTCTTTATGTTATATAAATGAGGGCTGTTACTGATCTAAACCATAGAATCTTAAATAAATACAAGCACTAAAATTAATAAACTTACTGGAAGTCGATTATCTGAATTGTCAAAGATGATTTCAACGAAAGCATTGAGGACACGAGGTCCTGTGCCTTCGTGCAATAAAGCCTGCCGTTGCTCAGGACGCAGATGAGAGAACTCATCACTAAGCACAAACTGAATAGCTAAAATGCAAAATAAAACTGAATTAGTCAAAATAATATATTGGTTTCTGGCATGAGATTTTCTCATAGAATATTATTCATTAATTTCTAATGGCAAAAATAAAATGTACACAAATCCTTTTTTAAAATGTTTATGAAAATATAAAAAACATTAAATATAAACCTGAAATATTAAAATCACACTGAAGCATTTTATTATCTGATTTCTTGTGTCATATCAACCAACATTTTCAGTCTTATTTAATCTCTCAATTTAAAAATATCTAAAATATTTAATGTCTAACAATGATAAACCATTATTATTTTAGTGTCCTGTTTAAAAGATTCAAAGTATTATAATTTTTATCTAAATTCCAAAAATTAATATTAAACTACTATAGTTAAAATATAAAACAAGTTTCTCATGTAAATGCTAATAAAAAACACTCAAAAGCAGCTATTCACACACATTGCATAAACTTTGTCTCATGAAAAAAAAAATACAACTGCTTCTTGACTATAAGCACATTTCATTGCATATTCAAAATAGCTAATTTCAACAATAAAGGTTTTTACTTTAAAATATATAAGATCCATTGAACCATAATAAATGCAAGAATTCAACGGTACATGTAATTACTTTCAATTAATACAAATATAGCTAATCACCAACTGAAGGTGAACCTTCTACATATAAATTCCAACTAAAAGTCACTTCATAAATCTGCATACTTTTCAAACTGCAGTCAGTTCCAATTCACTTTATCTCTAAAAGTTTTATACCTTCCTAGACATGAATGTAGTCATCACAGAATTTTTTAAAAATTCCACTTACCATAAAAGAAGTTGCTCTTCCCAGATCCATTTCTTCCCACTGATTGGAAAATGAAAAGTTTTACTCATAAAATGTCTTTCAGCATTTGATGTTTAGAGCATACATAAAAATTTAATACAACTTTTTTTGCACTCAAAAAATATCCAATTCTATAAAATCAAAAATTAATCTGTAAGACAGTATCTCCATACTTTTAACCTTCTTATTTCATACTATTGAAATTTACTAGTGTAAAATATGTAATAATATTATGACCCAGTTTTACTCACTTGTACCAAGCCAATAAAAACTGCACAAACTATCATAAATGTAAAGCTAAAGTTACAAAAAAACATACCATTATTCTTAACAAAGAAAATGTTACACTACTTTAAACCACAATTATCTCTATACGAAACGCCCATGAGAGAGCTTTATGGAGCATGGTTGATATCAGCTAAGAATTATAGGCATGAGAGGTAGATATACAGTGTCCACAAAGGGAGTGTCATGGGAAAGGTGTCAGATCAAAATGTTGACTATCCAATGAAACTCTTCTGGGGCCATAAGAGTACACAACAAGTTTGGATGGAATTGATCCAAAACTGTAGGCATAAAAAGTAAACACATAGACAATACTTCATATACATTAGCTGAAGTACCCATTCATCACACAGAGAAGATCTAACTGGGTCAGATCTGAATTCCGACCCCCCAGATGACCCTAAGGTAGTTGCCAAGTTTAGTGACAATTAGTCCAGCATTTTGTCAGTTATAAGCAAACACAACACACAGGAAAGTCTTTGTGGTGTTAGGTCAGGATGGCAATCCCCTTCCATGTCCTCCGCTTTGTCACTCAATGAAAAAACCACAGTTGGTATACATTTTTACCCCAACAAAGAGCAACTTTGATTTAAAAGAAATAAAACATATTTTTCAGTTTTAAGGAAACACAAAGCATGACCGTACTCACTAATGCTAAAGTTGCAACTGATCATTCTATAGCAAGATCTACCCTTTGCTGTGAAGTGATCCAAGCATGTTAGGACACATTAAATATTTATGTGGTTTTTTTACAAAGAAAATGCATACATGTATGTGCATATTTTTAATTTTAAAAACTTGTTCCACATAATTGGACATCAGATAATGGTGTTCTACTGTATGATGATTTTTATTGTAACTTCATTTATCATCTGTTAAACTAAAATTACCTAATCACAAAATCTTTCAATATTTTAATGGAGATTTACTGAACAAACATATTCTCCTTTAAGGTGGAAGTATGTTTCATGTAGAAAATTCAAAAGTACAAAGTGTGGTCTTACAATTGGAAAAATATTTGGTACAACCCCCACACCATGCTGATTCTTCCCTTCTACTATACTGAAAATTTTACATTCCAATCCACTCCCATGTCATTAAGAGCTAATTCTACAAGTTATGTTACAAGATATATGAAAATATTCAACACATTAGTCACAAAAAAATCTAATTTGAAATTAAACACTGAAAATAAGATTTATTCATGTTAACTCTTTCAGCATGGGCTCAGCAGCGAACTTGTAACCATTTTGTGCTTGTTATAGTTTCCACGCTATAATTTTTAAGTTAGTAAGCGAATGTTAACAAAATTTGGCAGATTATCAGTAAACATTACAATGCTTTCAAACGCAAAATATCAATTTTTTTATTAAGTCTTAAGGTTCATAAAGCAATGTTTTTCTTCATGTCTTTTTTTCTTTTTTGTCATGTTGCCTATCTATCATG